TGGATGCTCGGTGCTGTCGGCCCCCTCCCCCACCTTCCCAGGGTCACTCCGGCACCTCCTTGTCCCCTCCAGTGCTGGCTCAGTACAGGGTGACAGGTTTGGGAGATATGGCCATTTGATTGTAGATCGATGGGTGGGCTTGCACACAAGAGCTGTGAATCGTGGGTGGGGAACACCGTGGGGCATGGAAGTGCTCCTCATCCGGCTGGGGGACCTCCAGGAAGCTCCTCTGGAAGAAGTATGGATTGAGATAAACAAGGGCTGGAGAGCACTGGGCAGAGCCTTCAACGGGCATGCATGAAGTCCTGGGTCAACCCCCAGCACCACATAAACGGTAGGGCAGCCCACACATGTCATCTCAGAGCTAAGTGGAGGCAGGAGGATCAGGAGTTCAAGGTACTGCTACATAGCCTTAAAGACCAGCACTCGGGAGGCAGAGGCAGGCAGTTCTCTGTGAGTTTGAGGCCAGCCTGGGCTACATAATTCCAGACCAGCTTCATAGTGAGACCTTATCTTTGAAAACATACTGATAATCCCAGCACCACAGGAATGGAGACAGGACTGTTGGGTGTTGGTGGCCATCAGCCTAATTCCAGTTTCAGCAAGAGACTGTCCTCCAACTTCCTCCTCTGGCTTTCACATCACACGCACAATCCCGGGCCAGTCAGTGCTCCAAAGTATGGGAGCTTGCCCCAGAAAACAACCTGGCCCACTCTCTAGAGAGAAGACACTTGGTTGAAGGTTAGGCCCCGAATGTCTGAAGGGCGATGCTGAGCTCCTGCTTGTCCTGTGGGAGTGTCTGAATGGCCATGCCAAGTTCCCACCGGTCGACCCCTGTACCAGCCCCCTCCGCTGCCGCCGCCACCCCAAGAATCTGGATATTCTGAGCAGCCTGAGCATGGGAGGGCTGTCCTGGGAAGGGAGGTAGGGCAGGGCCCAGAGCAGGATCCAGGGAGGGAGACATGTCAGCCAGAGAGATGGGAGGAGAATCAGGAGGCTTCGGGAAGAGACCGTCCCCCAGGGTGTGGGCATCTCCGTTTTATTAAACAACAAAAAGATTATTTCGTATGTGTGGGTGTTTTGCCTGGATGTATGTGTGCACCATGTGGGTGCAGTGCCTGAGGAGGCTGGGCAGGGGCATGAAATCCCCAGAAATGGAGTTACAGA